ATAGTTACCCCTAAGTTTAATGGCGTGAAAATATACAGCCTAAAGCGTGACGTAAGTGAAGGGCTTTTTATTAAAAAAAATATTATTCAAAAATATGGTGTAATTGCTGACATCTTAGGCAACAAAGAAGTGTGTGTTTACGCTTTATTATAATAGTATAGATAAATAAAACTTTTACGCTAAGCTTGTTTGGTATCGCCTAAGATTGTTGGAGAAAGGAGGTGAACGAGTTAGCGATTAACCTCATATAACCATCCAGCGCTGGCCACAAACATCGCAACAACCGGAAAAGTAAATGCGGTTGCATATTTACCAAAGATTAGGCAGTGTCGCAGAATGTACACTGTATTCTATGCGTCAGATTACAGCTACTGTTTGTGATGTTAGTTTATTTTAATTGTAGGTAAATACTAACATGATTAAACTGGTCAATCTACATCTGACCGATGCCTTAATTATGCCTTGAGTTAGGTTTTTTTTTTATTTCCAATGGGTTTTTAGGTCAACTGTTGACGTGTACTTTATGTACTTTTTCTAAACTTAGAAAGTACTCTAAGAAAATTACCACACGTAAGTTCAGTGACGTTATTATATCAATCGATTTAATTAAAAAAAATGCTACTTTGGAATTTTTATCAATATTAGTTGAAATCGAAATCAAATAGTTTCCTTATGTGACTCGTAACCATCTATTTCATTCTTGGTAGACTTTAGATTTATTAATTAATCGATGAACGGCCTGAACTGGGGTTTTATTTACATGAGTCATGTGACGTCATTCACACGTCATAGTACAAAGTCTAGTCGGCCATGGATCAATTCTTAGTCACAGGTACTTAATGTAACGATTATTGTCTCTTCTCTTAGTTTGAAAATTATATCAGCGTAAAAATTAACTATTAACTAAGGGAGAAACAAGATGGAGAGGGATGACGTAAGAGGCGATATTGCGTTTAACAATAACTATCTATACTGATATAAAGAAGAAAGATTTTTATTTTTGTATTTATTGAAATACATCAAAAACTACTGGACCAATTTAAAAAATTCTTTGACCATTAAAAAGCTACGTTATCAGTGAGTAATATAGGTTTTTTTTTCTTTTAATTTCACGACGAAGTCGCAGCAACAGCCAGTATTATAAAACACTAATTCATTCAAATTTCCAGAAACTTCGAAACATCATTGAAATTAGAATGTACATTGTAAAGGATTGGTAACTATGTATTGAAGTAAAGGACAGGAATCAGAAAATAATGGATGTAGTTACCTATGCGCATAATATCAGCGCCCCGTATCCCTGGCCACTGAGAACTTATATATACGAGTGATTTGTATGCGAACAAACAGTCAATTGTGCTATTCAATATGATGCGCCTCTTTACGGTTGATCTATGACAATTGTTAAAAAGTGAAGTGTTTCGATCAGTGTTTGTGATTATCAGTGAAAATGAAGATGTAAATATAAACATCATGATTATCTTATTATTTTTATATTTAATAGCGATTCTTGATCGAAGCTGTAAGTTGATTTTTGATTTTATTAAATACTAGGTGTTCCAGTGCGGCTTCATCCGCATGAAATGTCAATATTCAAATGCACAAATGACAATTGCTTCCTTGATGTTGGCAGCAACTTATGGTCTCTTTCCCACATAAGGATTTTTATCCAAAATATTTAATGTTTAATAGCGTGAAAATATATAACCTTAAGCGTGACGTAAGTGTAGGGCTATTTATTATAAAAAAACTATTCAGTAATATGCTGTGATTGCTGACATCTTAGGCAACAAAGAAGTGTGTATTTACGCTTTATTATAATAGTATAGACTAGGGGAATGCATACCACGGTAGACATCGCAATTCTAAATTGTCTGTTTTAAATTTCCTGTACAAAATACTCGGATATCCTCAGAATATTATACTAAAGTTTTATCACAATCTGTTATAGTTAGTCTAAATAAGATAGATTAGTTTGATAAATGACGCATATGAAGTATCGAATGCTATTTGTATGAAGACAAATGCCGTACATAATAGACAGGTATCGTAGTGACGAAACAAATACGCAAACTTAACTTATTTAGAGGACAATTCTATTATTGATTATAATGTAGAGAATTAAGCGATGACAGTAATAATAGCGAAATCCAATTAGATTACGTACGACTGTAATAGTAGTGAACATTTATTTACTCTTATTATCTGTAATGGTCATTATTAATTTGAGAAAACAGTGTTTTTTTTTTAAATTCACAAGTTATAACTATTAATCTATCGATTCCAACTTCTATAAGAATAAAAATCGATAAGATTCATGACTGATTTTACACAACCCATCCCTACTAAATTTGAAGTGAATTGTCAAACTAATCTAACTTATTTAGACAACTGCTAAACCACTGAGCCACCGACGCTCTTTTTTCTTTTGGTAATGCAACAAATTCTTTAAAAATCACTTTTATCCTGTGATTTATATGAATTGAAAATTATTTAATCTTAAGTAGCCAAAGTTGATTATGTCAGCGAAGGCGAATTTTACGATTCATGTTTATAGCTTCCTTCGTAGTCTGAATACTGATGCTGAAGTCTGATTTGTGATAGATAAGTGAGCGGACATTACTCAAGCTTATGGTTTGCATTTTTATTCGGATTCATGAAGGTCGGTCCGGTTTAAGTTTATGAGTATCCAGTGGTAGAGAACGTAAGGTTAGCATGTTATGGGCATGTTATGAGGATGAATCGCATGTTACATTATGAGTGAGAAAGTGTACACCGAACTACCTCAAGACCATAAAAGAGATGGATGGATTGTGTAGAAGGTGACATGATCAAAAAGGGAGTGACTGAGATGACGTATGATAGAGTTATGTGGAGACAAAAACCTGTTGCGCCACTACGGGAGTAGAATAAGGTGGAAGATGATGGTGATTGTGAGGATGGGTCCGGTATTGCCGAATATGCTAAGCTAACATATACCATTTTTAAAGAGCAAAACTTAATGGTCAACCGTTAATTTATCTATAGAAAAATAAGAATAATGATATTTTTACCATCATAATCGTGGGAACTGTTAAACAGGAATTTTAACCGCATTGTATACTTTTTAAATTTAGCTGAACGTCAAGGAATCACAATAAGTTATAAACACAGATTAAGCAATGAAAATTTCATGTGAACATCAATAGAATGCAATTAATCCGGCCATCAAACTGGAAACGGAACTGATATTTAACGACAATTTTATTACTTTTCGACACAAAATGGCGATGACGATACTGTTAGCTGCGAAAATTCTACATCTAATTTAGATGGGCGTCACCAGGACTACAGCCCCCTTCCCCCAGAAAATCGAAAAATCTAGAATATAATTACTACTACTTATAATACCAGCTGCCTACTCCCCTAGATCGTAAACTCTAAGTCCTCGACTTGTTCGTGATGGATGTTTGTTAGAGTTTGTAGTCTTAACTGGTAGAGGATAGTCTGGAAGAACATATAAGCTACTTACTTTTTTTTTAATTCTATGCGAACCGATTCGCGGGCAAAGGCTATTGTTACATAATCTAAAAGTATAACTTCTTAAAACATGAGTTATTGTAGGCATTAAAAATTGACAACAAATTGTGTTCAAATACAATTGTCAAAGCTATAAATATTTTTTGCTGTGCCTCAGAATTATAGTAAATATATTATATCAGATAATTTACATAGTCGGATAACGTATTACAGTTTACTTCTGGACAAAACTTAGGAAAAACAAGAAAAAAAGAGAACCTTGACTTATGTCGCCGTTCCAGTTTACCATATTCAAGGATAATTTTTGGTTATATAAAATTTGTTTTGTAGAGTGATGCAATGTCTTTATCCAGAGAGCCATATCTAATTTATTGGTCATACTAGCTTTCGCCCGCGACTCCGTCCGCGTGGAATTAAAAAAACAAAAGTGAGTAGCCTATGTGTTCATCCAGACTATCCTCTACATCTACCAAATTTCAACGAGATCCGTTCAACCGTTTAGGCTACAAACTCTTACAAACATCCATCCAATCATCTAAACTTTCGCATTTATAATATTAGTAAGATTACAAAGATTATTTAGTAATTTACATCTGAATTTGTTAATTATACAAAAAGCATGATTCTCTTGTGATTATAACGTTCCAACAAAGTATGAAGATACGTAGCTAGGATAAATCTTGTAATTCAATAATTCTAACGTTACGTTTAAGTATTTGATTTTGGTATTCCTGAACGCGTTCGTAATTTTACGAGTATGTCGTCCATAAACGAGATTGCGATCTGTCGTAAAATCTACGATAGTTGCAAAATGGCCGCCATGGATTAATGTTTGGCGCGCTTTTAACAATTCTCGACATCATAGCTTCACAGTCAATTACTAAGAATTTGCGTCAAATAAAATAAAATATTTATTATAAAATCAGTAATTTGAGACTTTAAGTTCACACAATTTTTTAATGCTGTCAATTGCTGGTGTTGTAAAATCAATCCCTTTGAACGAATTTAACATTGCTAAAACTAATAAAGATCTTATCTATCTCTCTGCGTTTAGAATTCTTAAAAGCATTTGTTATTCATCGGGAAAATCCTAACAAATAAATGTAATAAAAAAACTTAGAATAATGTCGAACCTCTACCGTTTATTCTACTTTGAACTAAGAATAAAATTTGGACCCATTTTTATTGCTATATGTTCCTTATCATTAAATTGTACATATTAGTCGTGCGCAGAAGGTTTGCCGATGATTTCCCCACTCACTAACACAGACCACGTCGCGCGCTCTTTTGCTCTGTACCGTCAGTTAATGCGTGACGTCATACGACTATCGGCAAAGCTTTCCGTGCACGAATTATACTTGTCTAAACTAAAATAATATTTGAACGCTTTCGTTCGTCGTGATATAAACAATTCTCATTGTATTGTTGTTAATCATTGCGTTTGCATGAACTGTCTAATAATCATTTTTGCTTGTTGACAGGCATGAAAATGACTATGTCGACGACAGCGACGATGAGCGCGCGGGTCCACAGGAAAGTGATACATAAGCGGCCGCACCCGGGCAAGTCGGGGCTCCCGGGCAAAATGTTGCACGCGGGCAAGATGGCGCACCCGGGCAAGAGCGCGCACAACCCGGGCAAGTTTGCTCACCTCGGCAAACTCGGCAAACTGTCGCACTACACGCACACGCACTCGCTGCGCCCCCCGGAACCGTGCGACAACAGTAACGACAGCGGGCTCGGTCCGGACCCAGTCAACAGGTGAGGCTTACGGCCGGTCTCCGGTCTTTGTCGCCGCTCTGTGTTGTCGCCTTACGGGCTTAACCGCTAGCGTATATGTTTAAATATCATTGCATACCATAGCATCGACCTAACACGCTAACAAGCGCCTCACAATGTCTGTATTCATTCACACGGTTTACACATATTATTTATAATGCTAATGTTAATTACCACAATATCTGGCTTTACTTTTGTTAGAAAATGTGTGCAAAACGGTTGTCGGTATATAAATCCAAATCTAGATGATTGGTACAACATTTAAAATTAAATAGTGATTATATCCAACTAATAGTAGTTTAATTGGAACATAATGATAGTCTACCAAATGTGTAGGTCGCACGCACGCAGTCTACTTTCAAAACCATATTGAATACTTGTAGATGTTATGAGAAAATATGCTACAAATCGGATCTCATTTCATTCAATTCACTGTTCCAACTTGTAACCTATTAAAATTTAAGCTCTATAATACAGTGATTTGCACGACATCTTAGTCGGCCTTCGAATTCGCAGTACGTAGCGATGTACAGGCACGTATCGTGTCGTCTTATCTGATTGTTGCAATCTTGCGAACGAATTCTTAGATGTATTTATCGAGTACTAGATTGTCTGATAACGCACGATAACGCGTGGCGCCTGCCCTCTTTACTATTAACGATTATTATACATTTGAGCTGACTCATCGGTTATCCAATAAATTAGTAGACAATCTGAATTAGGAGAGTTTGTTGTCGTGAAACGTTGTCATAGCCTACACTAAATTAGGGTGGCTAGGCCATAATCAACCACGCTGGCCAAGTGGAAACGTTTTAGGTAAAAGAAATTGCTGAAACACTTGAGCAAAAACAATGTCTTTTATTTTACAAATACAAGTATTTTGGCAGTAGACAATGGTATACACACAATTATCGTGAAATAAACTACGCCATAAATAAATAAAACCTTTATTATTTAACCCTAATAAAAAAATATATTCCTTGGGTCCTGCACTATAATCCTGTGCTGCATGAGCCTTTTCCCATTTGTGAAAATCAATAAGTGCCTTAAAAAATAAAGAAAAACATTACAAAACTTTAGCACAAAAATAATCATTGCATGGATATATAATACAAATCATTCTGTATATTAAATGGGCATATAGCGAAAATAGCCTAATGGTTAAGGGTGAATTCCGATCACAAAGTCGAGGGTTCGAATCCAACCATTGGACTAGTCATGAACATTCCTAGCACAAGCCTGGAACTTGGAATAGTAAAAGAATATTACATATACAAAAAACACATGATATCGCTTATGGTTGTACATAATGCCAGGGAATTGTACATTGTAATTAACTATGGTAAAGATTTAAGAATTACGCGTCGATATTAATAAGTTAATTTTATGTGCTTTGTTCATGTTATTTCTAAGAGCATAATTGTAAATACTATATTATCTCCAATCCTCTAATTTTATCCGGGATGACATAGAAAATCAAAGAGAAACGTAAAACAGAAATACTAGCTTTCTTTTCTATATTTCAGATCATTTATATGTCTAGAATAAAATTTTTCTTTAACAGAGAGCCATTAAAATAGTATAATAATAAATCTACTATCTAGAAATTTCAAAAAGACCTTAAAAGGGATATGGCAACATTTTTATCAACAATTGATAGTTCTTTTGCTTATAGTGTGTCTAAATACGATAGATTAGCTTGATAAATGACGCATACGAAGTATCTAATTCTATTTGTATGAAGGCAAATGCCGTACTTAATAGACAGGTATCGTATTGACGAAACAAACAGAGGCGAAATCCAATTCGCCTACGAAGGCTGTAATAGTAATAAACATTTATTTACTCTCATAATGGTCATTATTCATTTGAGAAAACAGTGTTTTTTTTTTAATTCAAAAGTTATAACTATGAATCTATCGATTCCAACTTCTATAAGAATAAAAATCGAAAATCGATAAGATTCATGACTGATATTACACAACCCATCCCTACTAAATTTGAAGTGAATTGTCAAACTAATCTAAATTATTTAGACACACTATAACTTACCACTTTACTTCTACTGTCATTCAGTCATTCGTTCGTTCCTATATTCAATACGCTCTCAACTCTAGTTCACACTTCGACGTATATATCGGCGCGAAAACATTACTTCATCTCATAACGTCAATAAAATACCACGTGCTAATGAAGACTTAGTTTTAAGCGTTGAAATTATCATCTAAAATCATAATTGCATTTATTATTCCATATTTATTTCTTGAAATTGATTTTAATATTAAAAATTGTTAAATTCATTATTGTAAGTTTCCTATAAATAGAGCCGCCGACCGAGCATGAGGCATTCTCACTCGAGTCGTCGAATAGTACGGAGCTCTGCTCTACTAAGTGAAAATAAATTGTTGTAAAGTTCTTTTGTTCTTTTTGATGAGTGATCACCATGAAGAGTATAATAGTGACGTCAGCAATGCTGACGTCACTCTTTCTAAAAACACTTCTGGCGCCGGTCTGCCGTTATATATGTCTCATACATTTTCAATCGTATACATCCGTGATGTACAACTTGTTTCCATGTTTTGTAACTTTGAACTCTATTACGTAGAAGTTAAGACGTTCGTTACATTGTATATAATCTTCGACTCCAGTCTACACTCAACTAAAACGTTTTTTATTTACGTATTTAGTGTATAATTAACACAATTATATTGTATTAGATAATGGACTCGGGACAGGGTGTGCAATCGGCTTTTAACTGGTTTGAAAACAGGTTAAAATATTATCGAACTGAATACTCGAAAATAGTATTTCAGTTAGCATTGAGGTACCAATGTTAACTTGTTACTTTTAAACATAAAGTTAGGTAATTCTGTATTTAACTTTATTTAAAATATTTTTTATTCTGTCAACTCTAATATGTTTGAAGTTCTTAACAAAATATGTTTCTTACATATTAATGTTAGTTTTTGGATTGGATACTCCTTTATCCTTCGTATTCGTACCCATAAGAAATGGATACGGAATACTTATCGGTGCGCGTGAACGTTCAGCACGAGGTATATCGGCGCAGGCGCACGTGGTGGCCACGTATTTTCGGCGCAATCTACCTCACGACCTCATGACTCACCCACTCACATTCGCGAATAATCAATGACCGTAAGCTGCACTCTTTGATCCATCGGTAAGCTAAAATAAATTTTATTCCATCTGTTTTTATATCGACTTTTGAATAACGGTCCGCGTTCGTAAACATTTTCACATTTTTGCTTACGTTTGAACGCATTGTTACTCTATCCGCATACGAGAACAATTTGTTTATCCATGCGCTCACGTGGATTCATTCATCAATTTCCAACGGTTTTTTATACTTTAAAACGAAATTTAAAATTTAAAAGATGATTACAGACATGTGTGGCAAAATTTTAGCTATTATTAATCAAAAAATTAGAGCTAGCGGTTACCCTTTACAACGGAGATATATTTAACGATTTTTACAATTCTATTAACACTGCGACATGAAGCTAAAATCGATTTTTTCGGTGAATTCATTCATTAATTTTGTTTTATAGGCGATATTCAAAATTAAATACACTATACGTAGTGTAAACGATGTATTGGCTCGTGTGCGCAGATGTACGGACACGTCGGAGGAATGGGAGCATGGTGAGGCGAAAAGGCGGCGCGCAGACGACCACCCGGTTAAGGTAGAGTGCGACGACGCTATAGACGCGTACACGTTCGCGCCCGCTCTAGCGCCCGCGCACGCGCCCGCTCCGCTCGACACGCCGTCCGCACCGCTGCCCACTCCCGTGTACGTTGCACCACCTTTTTTTAACAGACTCCAAAAGGATTCTCAATTATTCTTTATTCTTATTTGTACCACAAATCATTGTTCTTAATGGACCACTTATATTTTACAATGAAGAGTTGTTGAGGGGTTGTGCTTATTTTAGAACGGCAATCTTGTGTGTTAGTATCCGGCTAGTAAGAGTGATTGTGAAAATATATAGGTTTAGGTGAAATAATAATAAAAAGGTTGTCACCAAGAAGTAGCGGGCAAATATTACCGGATTAAATTAATATAGCCTTCCAAGTAACTTTCAAACCAGCTGCATTATGTCCGCTGTAGGTGCAAGTATTGTGTAAATTGCAATAACAACATTACTAATTGGTGATTTACGTGGGAACTGAAACTAAAATGAAATTCAACCTTACGTAACATAACCGCTTCCTATTGTAGATTTTATGGTACAGTTTGTGAATTTATTTGCACCAATTTTATAGCACTTTACTGTGTCTAGACTAAACACCAAAGTCGTCCAGGACACGTAGGGCGTACAGATAACACGTTACATGTTAACAAAATGGGAGGTCAACAACAATTTTAACTGGTTTCGGACACTGAAGTCGTCCCTATGCGTTCGTTTATTTGTGAACAACCAAAACTGAATTAACTAAGTTTTCTCCGCAACCCCTCCCTCCTTCCGACACTGTAGATGTTAAGATAGGCACGTTCCACACGCCCGGCCACGTCACAGCGATACGTGACGTGTGTTGAGGGCCTTATCGTATCGTCAGCGAGACACGTACTTTATAAAAATGCATAACAAAGCCACTCCCCCTATTTGTAACATAAGAAAGATTTCAAGGTTTTTGTAGTCCAACGTAATTTAGGCTACAGACGTGTATTTGCTATGCAAGATAAAAATCCATACTAATTGTATTTATAATTATTGTATGGAGTTGAAAAACTTAATAGGATTATTGTATCCATCGATCGAAATTAGAAAGGGAACGAATTTTCTGGAGGCTTTTGATAAAAATATCCCTTCAAATAAATACCATTGTAACATTTTCCTCATCAGTATTTACTCGAAATTTCCACAAAACAAACGTGTTTGTAAAACGTCCTTTATTCATTTTCACATAAATACAGTGAAAACTGATACAATGTAGTGAAAGGTAACCATGCGTTGAATTTAATTCCTATAAAGGTACGTAAAACCTCTAAAAAAAACATTATTAGTAACTGAAAATATGTGTTGTTAAACGACTTATGTATTATTTAATTCTTTCAAGATTTATGGATGTGCCTCCCATAATGTACTGTAGACAAAATTTAGTGAATTAATCTCATCTTCTCCAGTACCATTTTTAGGACGCAGTATATCTATGTTTCTACACTTTTACATTGAAAGCCAAGCTAACCTGTCGCGCAAAGGTTTGATCTTTAACCCTTCACCCGGTCCGTTATTAACTTTCTCGCATATAGAGGGTTGGAGAGAATTTGTTGTTTCTCTTAAGAGCGATTCGCAAATGGCATCACCTAGTGGTAAAAGGTTGACCGCTTCATTTGATTACGTCTGGCACAGGAAAGTTTTACTTCATTATGTGTGCTGCGTTATTTTTCTTTCCATCTCTAGCTCGGATCTTAAAAGATTTATGGCTTAAGAATGGATTAATTCGTATTATCACAGATTTTTATTATTGCAAGCGGTAAGTCTATTTTAATGGTGTTTCGATTATATTATTGTTTTTCTTCTCATCAAATCATTATCAGCGTTTAGATGGATATGTTTTGTGTTGTCTGTTAAATATATTCATTGTTTGTTACATGTTGGTTGCAGGATAAGAGCGGGTTGCAGTTTATCTAGTCCAAACATCTCGGAGAGTCCGGGTAAACGGTTCCAGGAGCCGGCGTACCGGGCCTGCGGGGGCAAGCTGGGCAGCAGCGGGAAGCTCGCTGGCAAGTACGCGGGGGGCGGCAAACTAGTGGGGGTGGGGGGCAAGCTAAGTGGCAAGTTGGGGGGTAAGCTGGGGGGCAAGTACGGCGGCAAGCTGGCGCAGGCGTTGGCGCGGCGGCGGGCGCTGGCCGCTATGGCGCACACGGGCCCGGCTGGTCTCGCCGCGCCGCTCACCAGCCGCTCACGAGACGGCAGCGTGGAACTACAAATACTCTGCCAACCCGAGACACAGCATCGCGCGAGGTTCGTTCACATTTTTAATCTAAATTAGTGTTACCATACCTAAATGTACATAAATAACGTCCATATAAGCACGGACAGTAAAAGAAAAGTAGTGAAGACAGAGAAATAAACAACAAGAGAGACATCTGTTTTCAACAGAATACCAAGCTCATCATCTAGAACGATAATTAAAATAATATTACTTTTTTCAGATATCAGACTGAAGGTAGCCGGGGCGCTGTCAAGGATAACTCCGGCAATGGGTTTCCAATCGTTAAGCTGGTCGGCTATGACAAGCCCGCTGTGCTGCAGGTATCTATCACTACTTTTGGTCAACTAACGTGAGTTCCTTAGAAGCAGACTAACTCAATTGTTTGTCAGGTGTTTATTGGAACAGACAGTGGACGCGTAGCTCCCCACATGTTCTACCAGGCGTGCCGCGTGGCGGGAAAGAACTCGACGCCGTGCCGCGAACGAAAGGAGGATGGCACCGTGCTCATCGAGCTGGACCTAGATCCTAGCAAGAACTGGCAGGTCACCTGCGACTGCGTCGGAATACTCAAGGTCACTACTACTTCTTTACCTATAATATCTTCATTTATTACTACGTTCTTTTTTATCAGACTGAGAATGTAATCTTTTCGAGTCAGTTTCTATACATTACCTCTTTAGTTGGTCATCGAAAGCTCCAAATTGGTCTTATTGGAGAATAATACGTCTTGATGCATTTCATTGTCCCCTAAATAAGTGGACAATCGGAAGTGTGCGTTGTGCGGGGCGTTATCGCGGTAGTTGGGGGGCGAGCGGGGGGTTGGCAGTCGCGACCTTTGTCCCCGACGTATCGCTGCGACGTTTTATCTTAGGTCAATGCGCCGTCGCGTCTTCGTACCATTTCTTGCTTCTATTCGATAATAGATTCTTAATATTATTTCTGTGTCATAATATGGGACAATGATTTTACAACGCTACTATGATGACAACAATAATAATGTCTCGGTATATCTGTACTTTTATGCTTTCAATGCCATGTCATTTTTGTTGACAACAATCATTTTCGTCTACGAGATAGAACCCTCGTTAACAACAGAGCTTTTTATTAGTTGATAGTTTGATCTGATCTGACCAATTCATACTGATTAAGCACCCGAATAAATATCTGCCGATAATAAAACTGTAGCCTGTAGGGGATCTAGAACAGTTTTTACTGGACCACCAAACAAACACTTCATTGTGTCAACTTCAATTCGAAGATTTATATAAAATGTATGTATTACAGGAACGTAACGTGGACGTAGAGCATCGGTTCGGGGAGGCGCTAGGGGGTGGGGGTGGAGGCGGTGCGGGAGGCGGGCACTCTGCGCGCGGCAAGAAGAAGTCCACGCGCTGCCGCATGGTGTTCCGTACAGACATCGTGGACGCCAACGGACGATCCGAAACCTTGCAAGTCTGCTCCACGCAAATAATATGCAGTCAGTATCTACTACATTCTACTCTGTTCTTGAATTAAAATTGAATAGACTTTTAATCCAACAAGACCCTAAACATTGCCTTTTTTATGCTCTTTGTATACTAAGCTTTGTTGTAATTCAGCTCAACCCCCTGGTGTTCCGGAGGTCTGCCGGAAGTCGCTGGTGTCGTGTCCAGCAACCGGCGGCCTGGAGCTGTACCTGCTCGGCAAGAACTTCCTCAAGGAGACGCGCGTCGTCTTCTGCCAGCGCCAAGACGGACACACCACCTGGGAGGAGGAGGTCGTGCCTGACAAGGAATTCCTACAACAGGTATGGTGATATTCCAGATATTCATTTTAGTATTTCTAAAAACATTAAAACATCATTTCAGATCTTTTAGTGTCATAAATGTTATGGATAAAATATGCAAAGAGAGGCAAATTTATGAGTTTTAGGGTCCGCTGAATGAATAATTTATTTCTGTAGAATTTAGAATCTTTCAGCGTTTTCTTCTCTTTATCTCTCCCTCTCTCTCTCTCCCCCTCTCTCTCTCTCTTCCCGTCTCTCTCCCCCTTCCCCTCTCTCTCCCCCCCCTCTCTCTCTCTTTCTCATCTCCGCCAAGGCAGTGATCGGTAGACTTATTATCCAAAGAGCCATACGAAACTTTCAACAAATAAAAAAAATCTTGTTTAGCAAACTTACACTACACTTAACAAAACTAAGAGTCTGTCCCACCACTGGCTGATAGAGACTCAGATAGCTTAAAAACGAGATCATTGTCAGATAAGGGAACAAAATCCGATATTTTACATGTTCGACAATTATCAGACAATTTATAATTTGATAGGACTGACACTTAATATCAGACGAATGATGTGTTGGCATCTCCTTGGATTGTATAAATAAGAGCCGCAGTTAAGGAGTTAAAAAGACAATTTAAGGATCAATAAAGACTGGATATGTAACAGTTTTCGACACAACTATCACACTAGGGAAATCTTTAGTTTCGTGTTAATGTGACGCGTTATTTGTGTTGCAGACGCACCTCGTGTGCTGCGTACCGGCATACCTGCGGGCAGACATCGCGGAGCCGGTGACGGTGCAGCTGTTCGTGCGCTCCGGCGGCCGCGCCTCCGAGCCGCACGCATTCCGCTACACGCCGCCCGGCCGCGACGCTCTCCACTGCACATTGCACCACTCGCAAGGTACCCCTTAACCCCATTGCCCCACTATAACCCCATTGCCCCACTTTTACCCCACACACTAACCCCCGTACGCGCGCTTTTTGTTGTCAGAGATTTTTTTATTTCAAATGGTTTCAATTTTATAATGAACATAAACAATTTCATGTCATAAGATTATTAAATAATAACGTACTTAGGTTATTTTTAGTAAGAATTTAATTAAAATAAAAAAAATGAATATAAGTTTTTGATATACATATTCCTATGATTATTTTAGGTTATGTAGCACTTAGAGTTAAAAAATATATAATTTGTCTACTAATTTTCACATTAGTAATAATAAACCTTTTGCGCTTTAAAAATATCTCTATGCTTATTTTATGTAATACAACAAAAACCGTGCTTTGGTTGTGTATACGATATATTGTTTAATATATCATATTGTGTTGTCTACAATAATTGCATGCGAAAATGCTTTGGTCAAATAAAATTAATTCGAAATTGCTCTTAGATAATCTAACACATTAACCTCAAAATTGTCACAAGGGTTTTCGATTTGTTGAACAAAATCAGAGTTTTATTTAAAAATGAAAAAAAAGAAGTTCCCTTTGTGACAAATTTTTATGCGATTTAGAAAATGTAATAATTCAGTGGAAAAATAGATGTCAATATTTGCAAAATGTGTAATAAATGTCAATGTTTGCAAATTGTTTGTTGCAAAATGTTCGCATCAGTTTTTTAATAACATTTATTTTGCTTTTACTGAATTGTACCTGAAATTAATCTGTTGACCTGTAGTATATTCTTTTATTATAGCTTCTGGTATCCATGAAGTACGCAAAATGAGTATTATTATTAATGCCATAATGTTAACTAGCAAAAATAATGGCAGATTAACTCCAAATGCAACTTTTAAACCTGCTATCGACTTTGTCAATTTTCTTATTACTGTGGTAATAACGGTAATACGTTACAATATTTTTTCCATACGTAAAATTTTAAGATAACCAAAAACAAAGCAAAGGGGGAAGTTGTATTGGGAGTGAGTCATCTCTAACAATCAGAATGTTGCTTTCTAATGCCATAACAAGTTGTCCGTTGCTTGTTGTTCATTGTGTACCGCATGTAGTGTACGGTGGTTGTTACCATAGACAATATTATGTGAGAAATATTCTTTTAGAAGAAATGACTGATGCGCAATTGGCGTATGTTTCTTTTTCCCTTTCTGTTCAAGCTAGGTCTGTCTAGGTAGCGAGTCGGCCGCCGCAGCCCGCTCCGCGCCGCCCGTCACGGTACTGACACTCACACTCACTGACACTGCGCACTGCGCCACCGTACCGTACCCCACACTGCGCACTGCGCCACCGTACCCCACTTCTGCCCCACATTGATACTGCTCACTAAGCCGCCGTACCGTGTCCCACACTGACACTGCGCACTGCGCCACCGTACCGTACTTCACACTGCGCTCTGCGTCACCGTACCGTACCCTACACTGCGCACTGCGCCACCATACCGTACCCAACACTGCGCACTGCGCCACCGTACCCCACTTCTGCCCCACAATGACACTGCTCACATAACCGCCGTACCGTGTCCCACACTTACACTACGCACTGCGCAACCGTACCGTACCTCACACTGTGCTCTGCGCCACCGTACTGGAACCCACACTTACACTGCGCACTGTGCCACCAAATCGTACTTCACATCTACTACACACTGATACTGCGCACTGCGCCACCGTACTCCACATCTGCCTCACTCTGACACAGCGCTCTGCACCACCGTACCGTACCCCTCAAAAACACTGCTTCACTGTACCATACTCCATTTCTACCTCACACTGACATTGCGCTACCATACAACTGTAGCCATTTACCCAAATTTTCTATCCTCAGAAACACTGAGCCACTGTTCTCAACTCTGTATCAATTTCCACAAACAGTTCATCAAATAATACATTTTTTATTACTTTTAATTTTACTAATACTTATTTGTAACGCTCTACAAAAAGGGGTCCTAGTTAATACCACAATGACAGCATGAATTCCTTCCAATAGATCCTATATGCTCAGTAGATCTTTTGTTAACTTTGCCCACTTTGCCTTTCTTTGTACTAACATCTACTGTTTTATTTATTTATATTTTTTATATGTACAGTTGGCAGTCTCACGATGTCTTAGTCTTACATAACAAAAATACATACACACGTACCGGCGACTACTCTACTCTTATACATTACAATGCAAAAACCACAAATCAAAATACGAACGCTGTTTTACTAATAAACGTCATAAATAAGAACTATCATTCTCGATAATATTTACAGATATCGGTTACAGTTTCAACTTCAATTTTTTTTTAATATTTGTAACGTCACTTTAATTTCAGTAATTATGATGCGAGTCATTTTAATTTTGATATTTTTGATCGAACTCGGTAATCCCTTACTTTAAATTCGATGAATTAAAAAAATTGTAATACGATAAAAGATTCATCCGTTTTTTTGTAATAGCTCCCTAATTACTAGATCGAATTCGACGGGAAAGTTTAAGGAAAAAAAAAGATTAAGTACCTGTCCCACCACTGGCTGATAAAGGCTCAGATTATAAATGACGTCACTGACAGATAAGGGTACAAAATCCGATATTTCCATCACATGTTTTACATGTTCGATTGTTGAGACAATTTACAATTTGGTGGAACAGGCCCTAAAGCAAAAAATCCTTTTGTTACCTATTTTAGTTAAATTTAACTCAGGCTATACAAACGATAGGTAACGTATATTTGAAAATACTTTTATTTCAGTTTACTCTTTAATTGGATTATATTATTTTTACTAATTCGTTGTCTAAATTTATCTTTAATGATATGTTTTTCTTGACTTTTTAATATATTACAAATTTTCTTATATCACACAATCGAGAAATTACTTTCAATAACACATTTTTTTACAGTTTTTACACATCCCCTCCCCAAGTAGCTAGTATCTCCCGTGCCGCCCAAAGAGTTACCTTACCCTGCACTGCGCAAAATACCTCGTTAATAATTTGAAAACCACATTAAAGAAAAAAAAAAGTTTTTGGAAAAAAAATTGAGACTGTTTCTTTTTTGTAGCAAATATTTGTGGTGGTTATATTTTTTTAAAGTATCGACTTGATAGATATAATACCTGATTGAATGCGTCATGTTTTATCTGATGGAGGAATAAATCTTAATCACATTTGAGATACATCTGCGAGATAATTCGTAATGATAAAACGTCATCTGCAAAATACATCCAGTATTATATAATAAAAATATCGATTTTTAATCAAATATTTAATTCATCTTCAAATCTACTTATTTTCAGAAATTAGAAGCAGTTTCAGTGTTTAAAAATTACTATATATTTTTTACTTTGGGCTGATAGAGATCAATAAATTAAAAATTTACATAAAAATCGAGAATGTTCAAAGAAACATTATATTCTCTTTACAAAGTTCTTTCCTTAAAAAATATGAAATCCCGAGTATTTGTATATTTATGTTATGGAAAGCTTTAAATATCGACATAAATAAAAACACAACAAAGTACATAGCGAAGAGGCGAAGAGGATTTGAAAAAGTCTTATCGTTTCAGCAGAGAACGGAGTGAGAAAGCGAGAGTTAGGTTTTATTCCTCCATCAGATAGAATTGGCTACGAAGGTGATTTGCGGCAGTTCAGCAAGCGTAGCGGCACTAGGTAGGCAATAGAGAACGTAAGAACACCTCGACAATAAATTGTGGTGTGTACAGGATCGACTAGCGGAGCCCCTGGCGCCGGAGGAGCGCCCGAAGAGCCGATGCCCGTACTGGCGTGGGGCGGAGCGCCCGGCATGATGCCACCGCCCGCGCTGCCCGTGCGCCGCCCCTCGCTCATCCTGCCCGACCCTCACTCGCCTCTAGGACTCAAGAGCGAGGTACGTCTCTAGCATAATTACGGACACAAAGACTAGCAATTATCTGATCACGTGTAAAAACTATAATCCTGGAACATAAAATTTTAAAACAAAACTAACTAAAACAAGTGGAGTACGTAAACGTGCAGCGCTAGTTCTATAAACTGGCTAACTTGGTTCCAAACGTTTGAAGTGCCGACCAGTTAACAATTTATAATATACCGCCTCGCTGGCAAACGGACTTATCAGTAGTTGGTGAAAAACACTAATTTAATTTGCTACTATTTGTTACAGATGCGCATAATGCAAAAACAGTCTTGTATTCCCTATGACTACATCCATTCCCTGTCCTAACAACTCCCATTATTAGAACTCGTTTACAATATAACAATTACAAAAAATAATTGTTTCCAAACATGTGTACACATATAACATTGTGGGGTGAAAAGACACAGCAAATAGTCGAGAAGCAATTTATGGACGTGACGTGACAGAGGCTGCGGTACTTGCGCAGGTGCAGGACGAGAGCAGCCAGCACTCCGCGCCCGAGGAGGGCTCCTGCGGCGCCGACGGGCCCGAGCTGCGCCCCGCGCACGGCGCGCCGCTCGCCGGCATCGACCTGCGCCTCAAGACTGAGGCTGCCCGCGACAGCGCCTCACAGGTCCGCACCACACCTCACCACACCACATCACGCACTGACACCCCTCAGCGAGAGCGCACACCAATCACATTCTTGTGCCGGTCGCATATAAATGCAAACACAAATGATCAAATATATTGCTGTTTTACCTTAATTACATTCTATTTTAAATGGTCTAAAATAGAATGTAATAGAGAAATATGCCGACAGGTGAACTTCGTGGGCGCGTACGAATCCATGAAGTTGTCTCCGAGCACGCCGGCGCAGAGCCAGCCGCCCTCACCCATCGCCACCTACACGCACTTCA